TGAGTGGTTCATCTATTTATATCCTAGGTTTTCATCAGGAAAAATGGAACAAAAGAACTCTTATCACATATGGATGTTTTTAAAAATACTTAATTTCTGAGAGGTACTTGGCATGATGCCTTCTACATATACTATGCATCTTTTTAATAGTCTTTAAGACAGGGTCTTGAACTTGTGATCCCCCTGCCTCAGTCTTCCAAATGCTAGGATTATAGGCATATACCACCACACCCTGGTACATGCTAAGTGTCAATAAATGATAGACCTGGAGGCTGAGGTACAAAGGTCAGTGATAGAGTGAATACTTAGCAGATTTAGGCCTTGGGTCTAACCCCTAGTCCCCACGCAAATGAATAATCAGAACAAGCCAGGTGCAGTGGCATGGCTGGACAACATAGTAGATAGAGATCCTGCCTCTGAAAGTTAAAACTAAGGGGGTGGGGGTGGGGAGATGACTCAGTGGGTTAAGCTTGGATTCCTAGCACTCACTAAAATCCAGTTATGGGGTTATGCACTTGTAAGTGCTAAGAGGACAGAGTGAGTTTGAACCTGAGGACACACATGGTGGAGGAAGAGAACCAACTTCCTCAAGTTGTCTTGTAGCTTCCACAGGGGTCATCTAAGACTGTTGGAAATAACAGATATCTACAAATTATAACAGCAGCAAAATTACAGTTATGAATTAGCAAGTAAAATTATTTTATGGTTGGGATCACCACAACATGAGGAACTGTATTAAAGGGTCACAGCATTAAGAAGGTTAAGAATCACTGATTTAAAGCCTTTCATTTTTCCTGTCTCTCTGAACCTTAAACTACCTGGGGTGGGAAAAATGGAAGGGAGACTCTCCCCTCTCTTATTTGCCTAAGCCCAGCATCTCCATTTGTTTTTAAAATGTTGCAGTCAAGCCAACAGAAGATTTCTCTTGTCCTGCCTCACCCATGGCCACAAGAAGGTAGCAGTTGCACTCCACAGGTTGGGGCCATTCGAAGGGAACATACACCACCACCCTTATTCCCCCTGCACCCTCCGCAGGCCTGACAGGAAGTGGAGCTGCTGGACTGTGATCTCTGGAGACACCGACAACCTCAGTAGCAGCTTTACTCCACGTGATAATCGGGTGCCTCTCCTAATACCTTATATTATACCTGCCTGGCTTTACAGCCAGAAAGGGAGAGAGGATCCTTCCCTGTCCCCCAGAAGGCACTGCCTGGATCCTGGAGCTCCCTGGCTGCAGAAAATCTCCGGTGATAAATTATGCCCCCAGTCTTTTGTTTCCGGCTTGGCTCAAAGCTCTGATTCTGAGCTCTGCACAGAGGTGAGGGGGAGCTCCCATAGGCCAAGTCAGGGCTTGCTGTGAGTCCTCCTAGCCTGGCTTTCTCCAGTTGGGGCTCAGTCAGTGCCCCTCCCTCCTCACTCTCACCTGAATGGTGGGGGAGCAGTCATCAGAATTAGCTGACAGTCCATCCACTCATCTGCGGAACCCAGATGGGAATGCCTGCGTGCACTGAAAGAATGAAGTCTGCACGGATGGGCGGAAGCGGTGCCCAGGGGCACCTGGGATGTTTGCTTCTTGCTAAATCAAAGGCACAACAGAAAATAGACGGCCAGGAAGCTAAAAAGAATCAGCTTTTTTTAACGGCTGCTCTGGGTTACGGTCAACTTTCTGCAGTTCCCAGAAACATCACAACACTGGCACCAACTTAAAAGGAAGAAACAAAGAGACAACAGGGGTCAAACTTTGGGGTGGAGGAGCTGGGGGTTGGGGGTGAGTCTGGGGCTGGAGACTCACATCAATTATCTCACACACTGACAGGACTCCTGATTGAAGACTGTGGCTGTGAAGGAAGCATGCTCCCAACTGCCCAGCCCCCAAATTGGGGCAATTACTACCTCTAGAGCTCTGGGGCCTGACTCCTTCCTCAGTCCAGTGGGAGGGACAGGTTGGAATTCTAAACTGTGGCAACTACAAGAGACCTCAGGCAACCCCTCTCACCCTGGGTCACAGCAATCTTAGGGTGAGAAGTAGTAGGGCTCACTTCTGACCTCTCAACAGGGTTGTTCCCAAGGGAGTTCCTCCCTCTCAGGAGCAGGCTCCCCTGGCCTCCCTCCACAGCATAATAAAACTCTTTTTTGGAAGTGTGGACAGGACAGAGTTACGGTTAGGTTTCACTGGGTTTTCAAGAAGGAAAAAGAAAGGACAAGTTGTTTCACAGAGAAAAAAGAAGGCGGTTGGGGAAAACAAGTTGAAGTGAAGGAAGGACCAAGTCTCTTTTATCATATGAGACACGCAGTGTAACTTATCTGGCTCCCACATTCCAAACTCCAGAACCATCTCTGATGGATCCATTTAGGCAGTCTTACTAACAGTTGACATTTATTCAGGCCTACACCGACATAGCAGTTGTCAGGCTGTGGGCTGGATAATTTGAACATTCTATCAACTCTTAATTTTTACAGCATGAAATTTTCATGGGTGAAAATATATTACCACACCCCTCCCCTTACTCGATCCTCATTTGCAGATAAGAGCCCCAGAAGTTCAGGAAGAGCCAGTGTTTTTGCATAGATTCACCAAGAAGTATCAAAGCCAGGTGTCAAAACCAAGTCTGCCTGTGCTTTCTCAAATATGGGGCTAGATGAGCAGTTTGAAGGCATGTTTGCTGAATGGGTGAGCAAATGCCTGTATGCAATGCTCAGCTTGGGCAGTGCTCCTGACTGTACCAGGCAGAATGAGCCTGACCACACCAGCTCTAGGCTACTCCAGTAGGTGATCATCAGTGTTGTTTTTAGGGCCAAACTCAGGCTCTGCCAACTAAACCTCAGCACCTAGTCCTTCTTGGGATACTGAATCTCACTAGGCTAAGGAGAGAAAGACATTCAGTGTTGGAGAGAAGAAAGACACTAAGAAGTAGCCTGGGACTTACATCTAGGCATCTGTGACACAACATGGCTACACTATACCAAAAGACGTAGAGATGGGGGCTAGCAACAGGCTAACAGACCCAGCTGACCAAAGACACAGAATTTTCCTATAATTCGAGATATGTCCAGGAATAAGATATATTTGTAGTCTCTGAAATTATTCGGTTCTCATTCAAGAACCCCTCTCATAGTTGTTATCTCTTTGAGAAGCAGCAACATCCCATCATCCCTTCATCCCTTCATCGTAGGGACCAAGACTGTCAGTTAGTCTGTAGAAAGATTATGCAAAGAGCTACCAAGCATCCTGTCCTCTGTGGCCTCCTGTGTTCTTTGCTGGCCCAGAGGATGAGCATGCCCAACGTGCTTTGTGTCAGACGTGGCCTGACTTAGTTCCCTTGCACCTGTTATTCTTAATGCGAGGTGCCAGTTGCAAAGATGTCATCTGATATCCAACAGGGGACAGAAGAGGAAATCCAGAATCAGTGACAAGCCAAGCATCTTGCACAAGTCTGAGAGATCAAGGGCAAGGTCACTCAAGTACCATGACAACCATGGTCATGACAACAACTACATGGAAATAAGACCAGTCTCAGGCTAAATTATTTTGAACTCATTTTCAGAAACTTTTTTTTTAAATCTAGCTAAGCACTCCTGGGCCAAAACTGTCAGTGTTCACTTCCCTAGAAAAGTGGTTTGTGCACACTCCAGTCATAACTCACAGAGCATTTGTTGTTGTTAGCTTTAGTTTTTGGGACAGAGTCTCATGAAGCCCAAGTTAGCCTTGAACTCACACGGTAGCTGACGATGACCTAGTACTCCTAATCCTCTTGTTTCCACCTACCAAGTTCCAGGAAAGGGTCTTGCACTATAGTTTGAGATGACCTCAAACTATGTAGCCCAGACTTGTTTCAATGTCCTTGCCTCAGTCTCCCAAGTGCTAGCATTAGAGATAAGCCACTAGCTTTTCTCCGTGTGTGTGTGTGTGTGTGTGTGTGTGTGTGTGTGTGTGTGCGCTAATGGGTTTTGCCTGGCGGATATGTCTGTGCATCACATGTGTGAAGTACTCAAAGAGGCCAGAAGAGGGTGTCAGATTTACTAGAAATGAAGTTACAGACAGTTTTGAGCTGCCAAGTAGAGGGTGGGAATGAAACCCAGGCCCTCTGGAAGAGCACCTCGTGCTCTTAAACACTGAGCCATTTCCCCAGCCACATCCTTCTAAATTTTGAAGAACAGATTGTGATCTAGGCCAACACCAAATGGAGAGCCTCTAGGAAAAACCCCCAAGGTCTAATAGAATATAAATAAACATCTTGGTCTAGTGTCGAGTTCACTCCTAGCTGAGGTTGTCTATGTAAGCTCTGCAGGGCAAAGCTTTTCATAGGCACCTCTTCCAGGCGGTCCTGGACTTACTGTTAGAGATCCGAGTGGGATTTGGGAGTGGGGAATGGGGGGTTGGGTGGGGTGGCGGTTGCAGACTCTGTAACTGCTCTATCTCACTATGAATCTGTCTTCTATGGGTCTCCAAGGACGGTTCAGTGTAAGGCCCTGAGAAGTGCAAATTTTCCTACCTCTGCCTACTCTGAGTGCACAGGAAGTCTCCCAACTTAGAAATGTCTATTAAACCTTTTCCTTTAAAAATGAACCAACACAAGCCACCAAGAACCCTCTAGTGCTTTTTCTGTAAAGAATTAAGAATTCTCTGCCCCTGTTCTCACCCCCATCCTCCATGCAGACGTAATGTATGCAGTTTTGACAGCAGCTTTGGAGCAATGAATTCCTCTTGGCCAATTTCAGTCCGGAACCTTCCAGCTCCCCCTTCCCTGGGGCAGAAGGCGACAATCTCCTCTTTGGCTTTGTTGGTATCCGTTTTAGCCCCCACCTCACCCCCCTTTTCCTAGTGCCTAGCTATTTCCCTTGATCTTTTTCAAAACTTCCTCCAGGGGGCCGAGAGGAAAGTTCCATCCCCTTCCCTTGCAGCCCGAAGGGGGAAAACCCCCCCAAAGCATAGCTGTCCCTTTAAGGGGCCCATGTGGTGGGAAGAACAGTTACATTCCTACCCCAGTAGGGCTGCTGTCCCAACACGCCGAAGAGGCTACAAATAACCTTCGAGGAGAGAGCCCAGGAGGGGGAGAGCGAGGCGCGAAGAGGAACGTGGGTCGGCCAGGCTACCACTCCTCGGAGAGAAAGGACTTCGTCGGTGCTAGATACCACATGGAAAAAGCCATTGAAAACCCACGCGTAGTTTAAATAACAGACACTAGAACTCTGTTTTGGATTCAGGAGCTAAAACAATCTTTAAAACAAGTGCCCAAACAGCTCCACACCCTGCCAGGCAAGTTCCGAAATCTGCACTTTCCACACGAGCTCCTCCAAGTGAAAGAAAGAACCCGTGCACCGCCAGGGTCTGCAGACCGCTCTTTCTGAACCCCACCCCCTTGTCCAGCAGCCTGGAGAATCGGAAGAACTGGATCTCCCCCACGTGGAAAAGCCGGCGGGTGAATATGGTTGGAGTTCCAAGATCGATCTTTGATCTTTGGGCACAAACTCAGAGGCAGCGGCTAAATCACAGGGTGCACCCATGTTCCCAAGCGGCTGCAGAGAGGCAGATTCCACTGGAGTCCTAAGTAGACACAACAGTTGCGTCCGGGCACCGAACACGTTATTAATAAGGAGCAGATGAAGAAGCAGTGCCGTTGCCATCCGCCCAGCTCCCCCGAGGCCAAGGCCCCACTGCATGGGCCCGGAGGCTGCCTTTGGAAGTTTCCTAAGAACGCGCCCCTCTGCCCTCTACCCCGGCCAGGACAGATCTGCAGGAGCCTTCCAGCAGTTTCTTCCCAAATTTCCTTCCCAACCTCCTTTCCATCGCTGTTCCCCACCCCTCCCTTGGGGAGGATCCAGGGCAGGAAGCTGATTGGCCGCAACCAGAAGAGGGAACCCAAAACTCCACTTAGGGGAGATGCTGCAAGCAAATGCGACCAAAGACCCTAGGATAACCGGGTGTGGAGTTCGAGGAATTGCTTCCCAAGTCCATGATTCCCGGATGCTCAAGTAACTCAGATTCTGCTGGGGCCCTCTCTGCAATCCACCCGGGATCCCACAGCCCCTGGAAGGAGGACTATTTACAATTTATCGGTTTAGCGACCATCCTCCCCGCCTCCCTTTCTTTGCACACATTCATTCGCACGCACCAGGGACACAGAGCCCTGCCTTAACCTGAAAGGGAACCAGCCACTAGCTCTTTAAAGAGCAACGGTGGAAGCCGAGCGAGAGTCTCGGATCGTATGCCACTCGGCCCAGACCACAGAGGGAGGGAGTGCCTCCACCACTGTCCCCTCTCGTGCTTAAAGAGCTGCAGGAGCTCCTCTTGCTTTCCTCCGCACGCTCTGCCGGGGTTACTGCTTGAAGTGAGCTCGAGGTTGGGATCTCAGGCCCCAGCCTGCGCCGTCCCGCTCCCGGGAGGCGAGTCCTGCAGCGGCCAGACTCAGGGACAAACTTTCCCGGTGGCCCGGTCGGCGCGGGCGCTGCGGCGC